GGACTTCAGAAATGGTCCGAGATCGCTACTTCTGGCCTGGCCTTTACTCAGACGTAAAGAGGTATGTCAGAAGGTGTAGGAGGTGTACCCTGCGGAAGCTACCCAACACGAGGAGGTAAGCGGAACTCCTTAACATTTGCACAACTCGACCCCTTGAGCTGATCTGCCTTGACTTTCTCTCCCTCGAAAGGTCAAAAGGAGGGTTTGAGCATGTTTTGGTGATCACAGATCACTTCACCAGATATGCTCAGGCCTATACTACACGTGACCAGAAGGCCAGCACTGTTGCCAAGAACTCACAATTTCGATGTGTTTTTTTAATCATCGCGCATTTTTGTGAGCGCTGCATTCTTTTCAGTTTGCAGACTGTAAATTTCGTTTCAATCATCAACTTGAATTGTTACCACCTCGCTCAGTTCATTAGCCAGGGGAAACACTGCTCCACAGGGGAACGGCATGACGGAGATGTTTAACCGCACACTACTCTCCATGCTGGGAACTCTGGAGCCAACCAAGAAGGTGACACACGCTTATAACAGCACAAGACATGATTCAACTGGCTACTCCCCTTTTCATCTCATGTTCCTGCGAGGTCCGAGGTTGCCAGCTGACCTCATCATTGAACCAGTAGAGTCCCCAGACACAGCTCAAGCAGATGGATCTCACCATGGATACGTACAGCGACTGAAGAGGCACATGCTGGAGGCCTACCAACAGGTCAACACTGCGGCAACAAAGGCACGCATGAAGCAGAAGGTCAATTACGACAAGAAAGTTAGAGAAGCTCCAGTGCAGCTGGGCAGCAAATTGCTAGTCGCCAACAAGACGCCACGTGGAAAGGGGAAGCTACGAGACAACTGGGAGGAAATCCCTTACGTGGTTATACGGAAGCTCCAAGGGTTCCCGGTGTACACAGTCCGTCAGATGGGCTCTAGGAAGACGCGCACACTTCATCGTGACATAATCACAGCGTGCCCATTCGATGTGCCTGAAGAAGAATCCAAGTCTACACGGCCAGAGGAAATTGCAGAAGCAGCCCCCACACTGAGTCACTCCAAGTCAGAGGGTCTTCCTGGGGACTGCAATCCAAACACCAAGGTGTCGACTGAAGATGAGCCTCTGCAGTCTGGGACGGAAAGCAGCGCAACCCGCCAGTCTGTGCCCGATACCGCAAGTGAATATGAAGCAAGTGATGAATCTGACAGCTCAAGTACTGATGACGAACCGCCTCCAGCAGCGTATAATCTTAGGAGAAATATCAAATTCCCCAATAGACTAGGAAACTGGTGCCGAGAAGTGGCTTATAGTGACTGTTTAGCATTGTTGAGGACAACAATGGATTTAACCAGTGGTGAGTGTAAGGAGGAGAAATTCATTAGTTAGTTTTTTACTTAATTGCACTTGAAAAGATGTAGCTCCCCCTGGTTAACTTATTTTTTTTTAAGCAAAGTACACCCCTATGTGGTTTCCCCAGTGGTTCTCAAGTAACAACATAGACTCCTGAGTAGATAAGAGTAGTGTGAACCAGTGTGAAGTTATTTTTTGTTTGCTCTCCCAACAAAGTGATCTAGTGATCCATTTTTCCAGGTTACACTGGCACGTAAAAAAGACTAGCAAGAGCGGCGAAGCCGGGAGGGCCTTTACTATCTTGTGGAACTAATCACTTATTCATTTATTCACGTAATATAAATCAAGCAATATAAACCAATCATCTAACGGTGGTTTGCCGCTACCAGCAACAGCATGGTGCGCGTGCTGTCTGGCGCCAGACGACAGCTGATTTACATTGGTAATTCTGCATTTTCATTGGTCAATTCACAACGGTAATGCATTATTCATGTCTACCAAATCGGTAGACAAATGTAAAGAAAAACATAAGCGTTCTCCACGAGATGGTAAAGGCTCGTGCTAGTCTTTTTACGTGTCAGCATCCAGGGTGCGTCACGTGTCCGGGTAAGCACGTGGGACTTGACTAAAGGCTACATAGCAGCGGGTACTGGTGTGATGGTTGCTGAGTCGAATGCAAAATGCATATGCCTGTGCAGACGCTCACTTACGTGATGTGGCACGACATGGTATGCAGTGCTATTCACGCATACTGGCCAATGGTATCGCCTGCGTGCCCGTCCTTTTTCCATTGTTGCGTCCTATTGAGCACGCGCTCAAACTAATTTTACCATTGAGCAATATGATTTTACAGTTTGTTTGTGACTAGATGAGGTATTCAGATTATTTGCATCGCTTGATAAATAAGAAGTCAATAATTTGTTTTCCTGAAATGCGAGCAAAGTGCCCAACATGTAATTGAAATGGTGTCCAGGGAAAAAAGTCAAGACAGGACAGATACAGACTTTATTCCAAATTTAACTTTAATAACCTTTACCTTGTTATAGTACACTGATTACACAATAACGTAAAAAAACCCCACCACGCACATACTCCTCCTTGAGGGTGTTATAATAATAATAATAACAGGTTCTTATATAGCGCTTTTAACTAAGATCAAAGCAATTTACATTATTATTACCCCTAATCATTGGGCCAATTAAACATTCCATATACCATCTCGGCTCCCTGGGGAGTACACAGCTTGATGCTGCCTGTTGGGCTCAAAGAAGCTAATTCAATCACAATAACCATCACTGCCCTCATAAGTACCCCATTTACTCCTGGGTGGAGAGAAGCAATGAGTGACAAAGTGCCTTGCTCAAGGGCACACGCACCATGACCCTGCCAGGACTCGAACCCACAACCTGCAGCTTTACCCACAGACCACGAATCAGTGCCCTTAACCACGAGGCCACAGCACTCCAGGGTGTTATTTTAAGGAAAATAATGAAGGAAACAATTTTTTTTGCAGGCGCGATTAACAATGTAAACAATGGTAGCATAAAAAGATTCGAGAGTAGAGCGGGTAATGAATATGCATACCATGACGTCATCACAGCCATATTCGTGTCGTCACACTCGCGCGAAAATATGATCATCGGTAATTAAGTGGGGCGACACTAGAGGGTGGTGGCGCGACAGTAGAAAGAGGACTTGTTAAATGTGATGATCATCGGTAAGTGGGGCGACAGTAGAGGGTGGCGGCACGGGGTCCGCTCATAAGTCCGACGCCTCATTGGTCCGACGCCTCATAAGTCCGACAAAATCGTATCCCCTAACCAAATAAAGGCCCATAAGTCCGACGCCTCATAGGTCCGACGCCTCATAAGTCCGACGCCTCATAGGTCCGACGCCTCATAGCTCCGACGCCTCGTAAGTCCGACAAATTAAACGCCTCGTTTTTCCGTTGTCGGACTTATGAGGCGTCGGACCTATGAGGCAGAATAAATAAATGTTATGCCTCATAAGTCCGACGCCTCATAAGTCCGAAATTTCGGACTTATGAGGCGTCGGACCTATGAGGCGTCGGACTTATGAGGCGTCGGACCTATGAGGCGTCGGACTTATGGGCCTTGAGGGTGGTGGCGCGACAGTAGAAAGAGGACTTGTTAAATGTGATGATCATTGGTAAGTGGGGCGACAGTAGAGGGGGGTGGCGCGACAGTAGAAAGAGGACTTGTTAAATGTGATGATCATCGGTAAGTGGGGTGACACTAGAGGGTGGTGGCGCGACAGTAGAAAGAGGACTTGTTAAATGTGATGATCATCGGTAAGTGGGGCGACACTAGAGGGTGGTGGCGTGACAGTAGAAAAAGGACTTGTTAAATGTGATGATCATCGGTAAGTGGGGCGACACTAGAGGGTGGTGGTGCGACAGTAGAAAGAGGACTCCACTAAACGCGAATACATACATTAAGTGGGGCGACAGTACATGTACAGTTTAATTTTATTTCTTTCGGGGGGAGGATGGTCTCACACCATCCTAACACCCCTATTTGGTTTTCCGAGTCTTTGACGCTCACTGTTGGTCCGGGCTCCCCCCCCCCCCCCCCCGCCCTTATAAACCGCTGAACAGGGGTTTTGCTCGTTTTCGTCCTGACTGAACTCTGTGGTGGCCGTAAACAATGAACACGCTGCATGCAGTACATACAGTGCATCTATACACGTACCGTGATATATTACTCGTGAGCTTCTAGTGACGTCATAGTCATGCATATTCATTACTCGCTCTACTCTCGAATATTTTTATGCTACCGTAAACAATAGGGGTGCACCCAATCAAATATTTCCCCATATACAGCAGTGATAAATGCCCATACTTCAAAATTGTTTTTAAAAAGTACTCAAAACTCTCACAGGTGTTCAGGCTGCACAGGACAATGATGATCAACATGTCATCTTTCATATTCTTTTCAATATTTGGTGGGTTGACTGATGTCCGATCGAGAAATTCTCACCCAAATAAGACGCCCCCTAAAATGAGTGATGTTCCCAAAGTGGAAAAGTAGCCATCTTGAAAAAGGGTCCCTCCTCAACATGGCTAAATAGCGCCACTTTCGGGCCCGATGGCATCCAATATGCTCTGAATTTGAAGCCCCAATTTCTTGGCTCTCAGAACTCTGTAATACAGAAAATTTAAGTGTATAACTTTAATTCAGGAGCTCAGCGGAAACATTTTGGGCCTATTTACTTGGGTGCACCCATAGCTAGCGACCTCCAAAAAGTTTTTTCCGAGAAAGTTCCTGTTATTCTTCAATTGCAGTGTTTTATACAACTTATTGCTCTTTCCCCAAAAAGCCATAGTTTTCTGACACCTACATCTACAGAACTAAAGGTCCGATTCAGTTGTAGTTTCTTGTTAAAGTGTTATACCATATTGACATAATGACGAATCACTTCGTCTTCACATGTCACAGAGCTCTTCCAAAAACATACGAAGCAGCTTGTGTTGTTGCAACCATCAACTACAGTATACTACTTCAGTATGTATTGTAACATGGAAAATATCATTTTTAACTTGGAAAGCACCTGAGTATACAGTGTTTGTAAAATGAAGTTGTTTACATCACACAACCTCTGTCAAAAAGTAATGTATTCTTATTGATGGTAGATTCAAGCCATTTTATAAAATTCATTTTATTTCTAAGGTCTACTCAAGTCTATAAAAAAGAAAAATAAACTGTATAAAGTATTTCTTACAAAACCTTCTGAGATCAACAAACTCAAATATAACAGATATAAAAACAAATTAACCACCGTTATTAGAGCCTCCAAGAAAATATATTACTCAGAGTCTTTTGAGCAACAAAAAAACAACATAAAAAATACCTGGAAAATCATAAATGAAATTTTAAATAAAAAGCGCAAAAACATCAAGCCAGTTAACTCGATCAAAATAAACAATAATGATGTTAACGACCCTCAAACGATTGCAGAGCATTTCAATCAACATTTTGTTAACATTGGTCCAGATTTAGCTTCTAAGATACAACATAGTACTTCTGACCCGATAACATATATCAAAGGTAACTTTCCCGATTCTCTATTCTTAAGCCCAGTCACCGAGGAAGAACTATTTGATTGTATCAGTAAACTTCCAAATAAGAAGAGCTCTGGTCATGATGAACTTGATAATATTTTGATAAAAAATATTGCTCCTTTTATTGTTCACCCTTTAACAGATATTTTTAATCACTCTTTAATTCCCGGAGAGGTCCCTAATGAACTTAAAACTGCTAAAGTTACTCCAGTTTACAAAAATGGTGATCGTTCCAATGTCACTAATTATCGCCCCATATCTGTATTGCCATGCTTCTCAAAATTGCTAGAAAGGTTAGTTGCAAACCGTCTTGAAAAATATATTGCTAAATTTAACATACTGTCACAATCTCAGTATGGCTTCAGGGCCAAATATTCAATTGAACTTGCCTTGATTAATTTAGTTGATAAAATAACATCTAGTCTGGACAAACGTGAACATACAATTGGTATTTTTTTTTTTTATCTTTCTAAGGCATTTGATACCATAAATCATGATATTCTAATTAATAAACTACAAACATATGGTGTCAGAGGTACTGAACTCGAGTGGTTTAAAGATTACTTGAGAAATAGGAAACAATTTGTTGTCTGGCAAAATAAAAAGTCCAATTACAAACCAATCACATGTGGTGTACCTCAGGGCTCAATCCTAGGACCTATCTTATTTCTTATTTATATTAATGATATTTGTAATTCTACTCGACCTCTGACGTTCTTTTATTTGCAGATGATACAAATATATTTTACAGTAGTAAACATTTGAATGATGCTGTTGACATATTGAACAATGAGCTAACTAATGTATTTGAGTGGTTTGTATGTAATAAATTATCTTTGAATTTTAAGAAAACACATACGATGTTTTTTACAAATCGAATTGTAGATAAAAGTATTCAGATTCGTTTTAACAATCATCATATTGAAAAGGTTGATTCCTGTAAGTTTTTGGGGGTCATTATTGATGATAAGTTAACGTGGAAAAATCATTGTCAGAAAGTCCTTACAATTATATCTCGCAACCTTGGTATTCTTAGAAAACTGAGATATTTTGTCCCATCCCGTGTTCTATTTTCAATTTATAATACGTTATCCTTGCCTCATCTTCAATATGGTATACTTGCCTGGGGTGATACTCATAAAACCTATCTTGATAAATTGCTCGTTTTACAGAAGAAATCTTTAAGACTGATTAATGGTTCTAGTTTTAAGGATCACTCTGCCCCGCTATTTGTTAAGTTCAACACCTTATCTGTATATGATCTTTATAAATATAAATTGTGTGCTCTAATGTATAATTTTGAAAAAAACATACTGCCTTTGAATATTAAATCGTTTTTTGTAATGAACACAGATATTCATCATTACGACACAAGATCGTCAAATAAGCTTCATCTTAATAAAGTTAGAACATCCCTACACCTCTCAACTGTACGACACCAGGGGCCCCTCCTTTGGAATAAAATTCGATCTCTCTGCCCAATGACCTCAATTAGAGCATGTAAATTGTATTATAAAAAACTACTTCTCACTACGGCTAATATCAATGGTGATTAAGAGCAAAATTATTACTTTATTGCCAAGTAAAATTATTAACAACACATGTAAAGCCAAGGATGGTAAATTTACTTCAAGTAACTTATTCTTTTTTTGTAAAGTTTTGCATGAGCTCGTGAATTTAATGTAATCACATATTATTGATATATCCTATGATTATTCATGAATTGTATAACTACATGTATTCTTTGTGAAGGGGGCAGACCTAGTACAAGCTTCGGCTTCTTGTCTGGCCTCCCCATACTATTATTTCAAAGTTTCGTTAAAATGTTTACCTGATGTATATTATTCAACTTAATTACCATATAGTATGGAAATAAACCTGAAACCTGAAACCTGAATTTTTTTTATTAAAATGACAAATTTGGTAATGTTTCCTAAAACGTTCCTTTACTTGAGTTGTTTTGAAATAATGTAGTTTGTCATTTCTCATATTGTTTTGCTTCTACTCGGTTGTATTTGTTTTCTTTTTCAGAACTGGCAATGCATGTCTCCAGTTACTCCTAAGTTGTTGAGAGAGCTCTTTGATGAGGTTCCGATATTGAGATGCATTGGCTACGTTCTGCATTTCCAGAGGATCAACTTTGTAACTATAAAGCTCTCTTGCCACAGGTTCTGTCCAATTAACTGCATAATCTGTATGGTTGAAGGAAAGCCACTCCACATATCGATACTTCTTTGTATGCATAGAATATCCCATTAAATTAATCTCAGTCAACTTGGGTGTGTTAGTTTTATGGGAAGGAAAGAAAGTTGGTCGAGGGTACTGACTGAAACTTGCATTCTTCCATCGAACAATTAACCCACAATTCACTGTTGCAGTGACATTACATATAACAGGGAGAAGGCTAACACCCTCTGCACAGAAATCAGTATGGAAGGTGTCTATGGGGCACACTGGGGGCACAGTAATCCCTGCAATCTTTGACAGTGTTGGAAAAATATCAACAAGCTCAACTAAAGCATTGCTTACAAACCCTAGTGATTGATTGTACTGTGGTGTGACATTGTCAAATGCATCCTGTTGTTCAGTCTGATGGATTCTGTCAAGTGGGTCAATAAGACGGAATTTGTGCTGATGTGGCCAGTGTTTGTCGGTAACCTTAGGTATATAGAACATGAGAGGCACTCTTGTTGCAGAGTCATAGTTGCTGTACTTTGACCACTCCTGGTGCTCTCCAAGCTGCCAGCCTGTCATGAAGCATAACAAAAACAAAACAAACAAAAAATAAATTTAAGAATGCCCTCTTGAAACCAACAATCAGAATTACATTTCACACAGCATACAGACAGTATTTGAATTTAAAAAAAAAATATCAGACTTATAAATTTTAAATAAATTTAAACAGGGATTAATAATTTGGTATTAATAATTGTGGGGGAAAATCTTACATACTGATCATGATAGCAATCGTGGACTAAAAGCATCATTGCAAAATTATATGCACATGCAACCTGATATACAAAATGATCTTGGGTATATATCAGCATTCCAGCATGTCCAGACTCAACCAGTCTTAAACATAGTGTTTTACACATCCCAAGCACACACTGATTCCCTTATTAAATCAACAGCATTAGTGATAATAAATAGTGGTGAATATCGTGAAGATATTGATTGTGAAATAAATCAGAAACCATCAGCTACAAGCCCTCCACATCCACATACCATTGTATGCCTTTGTTTCTGGCCAAGTGTTCACTGTTTTATCAATCAGCCATATTATCTGCTTTGATCGCAAGTGCCTATTACAGGACATGATGGGGACAGTCATATTTCGAATGAAGTCCAACTACAGGGTGGTTCAAAATATAGTAAATCCACTTCTGACAGCAATTTTCACCTACTTTAACCTATTTCAATTGTTTCTTCACAAAGTATTTAAGTTTATCCCTTTAACAATGCCTGTTGGAAAAAGCTTAGTAAAAGTCGCAAGAATAGTGATGTTACACTAATTGGAATACAAGTCACCAAAATCAGTCTTGTCCACGTGTTATTCTATGCAAATTGGACGTTTTTGTAGTTCACAAACATTAGAAACCTTGCCGATGAAATGTTTTGACCTGGTAACTTTTATTGAGCTGTCTGATTAGTCATGTCAGCTGTAGGTTTAAGTTCATTGATGCATAACATTACATAACAATCAAGAAAAATAACAGCAATTGCTGTTGAAACCCCTCAGCCAGAGTCAAGTTATCATTTGGAACCATTTACATTTAACTCACCACGGTGACCTTGACCTTTGACCCCCAAACCAATCCCAACTTGCCTGTACCCAAGGGCAACCCTCTACCAAAGTTAGACACCAAAATCTCATTTCTAACTCAAGTTATCATCCGGAAACCATTTACATTTAACTCACCGGTGACCTTGACCTTTTGACCCCAAAACCAATCCCAGCTTGCCTACTCCCAAGGGCAACCCCCTACCAAAGTTAGACATCAAAATCTCATTTCTAACTCAAGTTATCATCCGGAAACCATTTATCTTTAACTCACCATGGTGACCTTGACCTTTGACCTTTAGACCCCAAAACCATTCCCAACTTGCCTACTCCCAAGGGCAACCCTCTACCAACGTTAGACACCAAAATTTCATTTCTAACTCAAGTTATCATCCGGAAACCATTAACCTTTAACTCACCGCGGTGACCTTGACCTTTGACCTCAAAACCAATCCCAACTTGCCTACTCCTAAGGGCAACCGCCTACCGAAGTTACAACCCCAAACAACATTTCTAACTCAAGTTATCATCCGGAAACTAAGCTACCCGGACGGACGGACGTTCCAGCCAGACGGAATTGTGGGGTGATAGCATTGTGTTCCCATTATCCCTTTTTCTAAAGATTCCCTTCTGGGGTGATGTTTTTCTATTGTGAAAAAAGTGGGGTGATGTGTCCTGAAAGGAACATCACCCCACAAGGGTGGTATGGTCAGAACAGACATACAGACGGACGGACGCCCTAGGCGATGACAATACCCCTCGAGCCTCTCGGCTGAGGGGTAAAAATGACACTCTGGAAGCAAGTGTAAGCACGTGTATGGCATGAGTGTACATTCCTCATTGGGCAAGACCTACAAGCAGCACGTGTTTTAACAATCACTTAACAGCACACGGGGGCTTCCGTATGTCGGGTACCCCGCTCCATGCATGCTTATGGATATTGTGTAATCTGAAACTAAATGTGCCCGACTATAGAAAATAAACTGGCGATGTGTCCTCTCTCAAAACAACACAGTTTATGGCAGCCAGTTTCATTTCTTTTGTATGTTTTCTTCGTTTCAATAACTAGGTGTACCAGAAATATAAATCATTAATATGCTGGCAATGCTGTTCCTATTTCCAGACCGTTATGGGTTAAAATTCATGTAAAAAATCACTATTTTTGGCAATATTTTCATGATGCTTTTTATCTGTCGAAATGAAAATAAAAAAAAAAACAATCAAAGATATGTCCCTTTTCTTGACTGAAATTCTGGAAAATGATTTATTCATAAAATCAGAAGTCCAAAGTTAAATACTTTGAGCTGGATTTTACTAAAACACTTGAATACTTGAACCACTTGCACTTTCAAAGAACATTGCTTACAAAGAAAGTTTCTGAAAAAAATAGAATGACTCAATTATAAATATAAAGCAACTTAAAAAAGTGAACTTAAAAACTAAGCCAAACTTTCTTCAAAGTGTGAGGTTACTATGCTCTAGGATGTACATGTACACACTTTCTTGCTATATTTCATGTACTTAAAAAAATTCCATACCCTGCCCACAAGGTACTCATTTAAGGACAATAACAAGACCACTCCTTTAGTCAGCCACTGCTACGAAACGGGTTTCCTGTCCGATTTTCCAGGGGCACTACTGAACACTCGCATAACCTCGTGCAATCTCGCATGGTCCCAGATGGTCAACTCGCTGCAAATAAAATCTCGCTGTGTGGCTCATTATCGAGTAGGCTGCGGACTGACTGACCCCTTGGAGAGGGGGTCGTCAGCGACGTTCTCCTCACCTGGGAGGTGGACTGCTAAAAACGTGACATTGTGGCGCATACACTAATGGAGGAGTTCCCATGTGAGTGCACACAGTTGGGCAGACTGCATGCCCCCCAGGTGGCATTGTCGCATCGAAACCCAGGACTGCTTGGCCCACTACTGATACCCGAAAACATTTAGGAGCGTTGGAGACTGCCAACATCTCCAGTATGTTCATGTGACTTGAGCGGTGTTCTGGGCCCCACCGACCCACAACTTGGCGCGGGTGGATGTTGGCCCTCCAGCCAAAAAGTGACGCATCTGTTATGACGGTCAGCAATGGCCGGGGTCTGTGAAAGAGGTTGACAATGTCGAGCCACCACCGGAGGTGCGGTATCAGCCAGGACGTGGTTGGCATTGGATGATATATGTGGTGATGATTAGGCCGGCAAAAATCTACGATGTCCAAATAGCTGGCCATGAGGCCTAGCAGCCTGAGCCAGGTTTGAGTGGGGCCACTGTTGCCGGAAGGAACAGGAACACGCACTGACGAAAGTTCGACACGCAAATAAAATCAAGAAGGTTCAGACAAATAAATCTGTTCAGGGGTTTAAAGATTAGGATGGGGCGCCAGCCTCCTTCTTGGACACCATGAACCCTGATCGCGTCTCCCCCGAGGGAAGTACGCATACTGCCCCTTTTTCGAGGTGGGAATTGATCTACCCATTGAGGGAGCAGCCTTTTGTTTGGTAGGTTGGATCTGATTGATCGAGTACCCACTGGTTGGACGTAATTAGAGTCTCGAAGACGGCCTCCTACGGGTTTGACGGCGGGAGGTCGACACAAGTTTGGCAAGTCATTTACGCTAGCCCCCAGGTTAACGGGGTGCAGGTGCCAGTGAACCATGGCCAGGTTGGGGCCATTGTCGTCCGACGAATGACTGAGTCTGCGCGGTAGGGCTACAAAAACCACCACAGTTAGACCTCAGTGGTTTGCAGCGGGGGATAACACAAGACAGTTTGTTCTTACTCTGTTCAGGCCTGGCCGTGGAGGTTGGTGGCTTCTTGAAATCGATTTTCTCAGTAGCATTCAACCATTTTGCCTCGGCTTGTATGTTATCCTCGAATTTTACTGCATAAGATCCATGCCTGTTAGAGGGAGGGTCTCAAATTCCTTGGAGGTGCCCGGCGATGGGAGAAAAAGTGCATCAAGCAGAAAAGTGGAGGCTCGCGAAGCATACATGCTGCGGGGCACTATGGGTAGGGCGCCAGAGGGCGCTATTGTGTAAACTCTTAATAACGTGAACACCTGCAGGTTTAGGGAAATATGCATAAGTAAATTGCTCTACAGGTAAGTTGAGTGAAGTAGACACTGGTATTTCAACAATCAGAAATCAACATTATGTGACTATTAGGCCAAAAAAAAAAGTCTCCGGTTTCTGGTATGCGCGCGCGTCGCCGTAGCCATGCGCGTCGGAAAATGAAAAAGTTTTTTTTTCAATGAAAAAAATCGCCAAACTCACTGGTTTGACTGGAATCCTGCTGCTGCACAATTTTAACGTGTTTTTAGATTGGGTTATGGTCGTGTTGTTTATAAATTCAATCCAAGAGCAGCTGATCTTAGCATTATCATCCAAATATACTGTGTTTGAAATCTACAGATGAAGTTTAATGTGGCTTCATTTCAAGATGAAGTTTATGTTTTTAATACTTTTGCAGATTGTTATCCAGCCTTCCATACGTACTGAAAATAATAAACGAGTCTTCAAAAAGTGGTTACTTTGATTGGTCAAGCGATGTTGCTGCATATGCATAGAGATGGTGTTGCATATGCATCGATGAATACAGGCTCGTGCACGCGAGGGGGGGGTGCTGATGGCAGATTTATCAAGTCGGAATTGCTAACTTTTGCACCACATGTATGCACATGCTCTGCAATACATGCACACACATGTACGTGTAATACGCGTGCTGTACAATGTACATACTGTGTGTGCGTATTGTTATACGGCATTGAAGTTGAATGCACGCTGAAGTGTACCTTGTCGGGCATCTGGAAAGACGTAAACTAAGTGATGTTTGCTACTTTTTTTAAGTAGATGTTTGCTACTTTTGTTTCGGGTCTGGTGTGCCCATGTTTTGGGTCTGATATGTCCATATGTTTCGAGTCTGGTGTGCCCATATGTTTCGGATCTGGTGTGCCCATATGTTTGGGTCTGATATGTCCATATGTTTCGGGTCTGGTGTGCCCATATGTTTTGGGTCTGATATGTCCATATGTTCGGGTCTGGTGTGCCCATATGTTTTGGGTCTGATATGTCCATATGTTTCGGGTCTGGTGTGCCCATATGTTTTGGGTCTGATATGTCCATATGTTCGGGTCTGGTGTGCCATATGTTTTGGGTCTGATATGTCCATATGTTTCGGGTCTGGTGTGCCATATGTTTTGGGTCTGATATGTCCATATGTTTCGGGTCTGGTGTGCCCATATGTTTCGGGTCTGGTGTGCCCATATGTTTTGGGTCTGATATGTCCATATGTTTCGGGTCTGGTGTGCCCATATGTTTTGGGTCTGATATGTCCATATGTTTCGGGTCTGGTGTGCCCATATGTTTTGGGTCTGATATGTCCATATGTTTCGGGTCTGGTGTGCCCATATGTTTTGGGTCTGATATGTCCATATGTTTCGGGTCTGGTGTGCCCATATGTTTGGGTCTGATATGTCCATATGTTTCAAGCCTGGTGTGCCCATATGTTTTAGTTCTTTGGCTGTGTCATATGCCTAAACACAAGAAATGGTTGGGTATGTTTTCCTTTGAGTCTAAGCATAATGCCAACTTTATTTCCCTAAAGCATAAGAGAAGTATGTTTCTGTTTGTAATGGGTGTAATAATACTAGACAAATCCCTGGCAAAATTGCTTGTTACTGTAGGCCAAACCAATTTAGCTTTAATGTAATTTTGTTTCAACAATACCATGCTATTGGGGTATACTGTTACAAGCACTTAGCACATAAATGAAGACAAGGTTTCTTCTTCTTCCTCTTTATGACCTTTTGTTAATGTGTAGAGAATTAAAAAAAATGTTATAATAATCTTGATTTTACCATGATCACCAACTAATGCAATGATTGAGCTATCCGCAAATCCCTCTTCCTCCAGTGTTGATAGAACACGGCCAATTTCATAGTCCACATAGGAAGTAGCTGCAAAGTATGACTGCCGCATCAGAAGCTGTTGGACAAAGCACAGGCAAAAGTTGTCAATACTGATTCTTGTAAGTGATATAAAGCATATAGCCTTGTATTAAAGTCCCCCCCCCCTCAGAAGTGTGGATTGGGTCTACGAACAAACACTTACCTTACTTGTGCATATTTCCCTAGACCAGCAGGTATTTACGCTAAGATTTACACAAAAGAGCCCTCTGGTGTCCTACCCATAGTGCCCCTCACTCTTTCTCAATTCTCGAGCGCTAAGTCGGAGCACCCATGTTTCTCTAGATCGAGAATAGTGGGGTAGGAGGAAGGGATGCTCTACAGGTAAATTTTTGTTCGTAGACCCCATCCACACTTCTGTGGGGGGGGGGGGGGGGGGTACTTCACTCAACTAACCGAGGGTAGAGCAATCTACTTATGCACAGACTTGCACCAGGTATTAGGCGGTGGGTTATGCGAGATGCTCTTGTATAATTGTACAATATTGAACCACAGCCCACCGGTACATAATATAAGTGCACGGTGGGGCAAAAATGATCACTATAGGCAAAACCATTATGACATAATTCATATCTATCATATGTAAAAAGGTTAAAATAAGGAATCAGAGTAAGGAGACTCATCTATGCTAGAGAGGTCCTCGGTTGGAGATGGTCTTGTGACCATGACAAGGTTCAGCTAGCTGCCCTCAGCACTGCTCTCCCTGTTCTGCCCTCTGTCAGGAGAACGTCCTTCAAGTAACACTCGGTGAATGTGTTGGGAGTTTTCCAACATGCCGCTTGCGTGATGTAAGAGACATCCTTAAAGAAGGCCCAAATGGTGGAAGCCGCCCCTGCCGGTGATGCGTCCACGGTTGACTTGATGGCTGTAACTAACCAATGGGCGATTGTGTAGCGAGAAGGCAGCCGATATGGTTGGGTTGTCGTTGCCCAGAGCTGGGCAAAGAAAACCCGAGCTGGGCTGGAACAGAATGTCCGCTCTCCGCTGAAGTACCATTGGCCGGTGAACCAGGAGTCTGGTTAGCCTTGGGCAACATGGTTGGCGGGCCAGAAGGGAGCTATGAGGAGGACTTTGTAGTCCACCTGCTCAAGTTTGGTCAGTACCCGTACGGGAGGAAGGTGTAGACAAGCAGCCCATCCCACCGTATCATCAGTGCATCCTTCTGCCACGTGCTAGGATCGGGTAAAGACTCGGGGCGAGGTAGAAAGGCCGAATGGGAGCACCATGAATTTGTAGCAGATGTCTTTGTATTGGAACCAAAGGAATTCCCAATGCTCCCACCTGATAGGAACGAGTAGGTATGCGTCCTTCAGGTCTAGGCTGGCCCCCCATGCTGGCTTGTGTATTGACTCGGGATAGTCTTGAGTGTGTCCATACGGAAGCACTTTGGATGAATAAATCTGTTCAGATCAAATTTTTGACAGGGGGTGCTGGAATTTGTTTAAGACAATCGGCGAGTGCAAAGCGCGAAGCCATTTCGGCATGGGTCCGGGTCGGGGGCCGGGGCCACTTTTTGGCACTATTTCACCTTTTTTTTGGGGGGGGGGGGAAGAAAGTTTACACCAGAATGAACCATGTACATGTATGTAAAAAAACCCAATAATAATTATTGTTTCCATTATGCACTTTTTGTGAATATTTTATTAACTGACCCAACGCATTGTTTATCAAAACTGTAGAAGACTATAAAGTGCTGTTGAAATAAAATATTTAGCCAAGGGCGTCAATCGCTTCTCAAAAGTGGGGGGACATACCTTGATACCTGGAATAAGAAGTAATGTGAGCGCGTAGCATGAAGCCCTAATGGTGTGGGGTTCGGGGCCCGCTTAAGGGCCCCCAAAACAAGTCAGGTGTGTTTACAAACACAAATGCCCCGCAACCGTGACTGTTCCCGTGACATAACATAACTTTACATGTACCTTGGTCACATGGAACGTTCATTGACAGCATTAGTGTCTTCTGTAGGTTTTATATGAATTAATGCCTAATCCCTATGATCTCAGAATAAATAGAAGATTTCTATTGTTTTATCCACTGTGACCTTTACCCTTGACCTTTTGGCCCCAAATGCAATAGGCTTCTTAGGATTGCTAAGGACAATCCACAAACCAAATTTGACGTTCATATGTAAAGTATTTCTCAAGTTATCGCGCTGACAAAATTTCTTGTGTTTCAGCCACTGTGACCTTGACCCTTGACCTTTTGGTCCCAAATGCAATAGGCTTCTTAGGATTATCAAGAACAATACACGCACAAACCAAATTTGAAGTTCATACGTAAAGTATTTCTCAAGTTATCATGCTGACAAAATTTCTTTTGTTTTAGTCACTGTGACCTTGACCCTTGACCTTTCGGCCCCAAATGCAAAAGGGTTCTTAGGATTACCAAGAACAATACACAAACCAAATTTGAAGTTCATATGTTAAGTATTTGTCAAGTTATCGCGCTGACAAGATTTGTCCGGACACACACACACACCCACCCACCCACCCACACACGGAAGGACAAGGCTTCGCCGCGGGGCATAAAAATCTGGACCCTAAACGCTCTGTGGTGCAATCTGAGGCAATTTCTGACCACTAAAATCAATTTATTTTTTAGCTAAAAAGATCATTTTAACATAATTTTTGAGTTCGGAGTCATTGAATCATGGCTGAGCTATATATAGAATCATATATATTCATAAAGTTCTGACAAAAACCGTTAAATCAAATAGATTTTAGTTTACATGTGGTTTACACAAAAGTGGCGACGCACACAGTAATGTTAGGCACAATCGGTCGATATTGGAGCCATGTTGACACTTACATATTAGCACGGTTTGAAATTGCCTTACAGCTTACTCGGCCAAAACTCAATGGACTCCCTATTAAAGGCCAAAAAGAAATATTTCTGCTTCCGCATACCTCTAAAAAATAGGGTCGGTAGGTCGGAAATTTTTCTTTTTGCCAATTTTTTGTGCTGATTGAATGGGGTATTCAGTCATATGCGAATTTCAGCCTGGACTATTTCCATTGCACTACGAAAGGCTATACGAAAATGGCCACAAAAAGTAAAGATTACCTTAATAATTATTAGAGTATTAACAGTCGATAAATATTTTTAAACAATTGAAAATTCAGGTCATGCACACCATAAGTACAAAGCTAGTCAAAAGGGGAAACTGCATGGCCAACACTGTCCATAAATCGCGCGCGGTATAAGCATAGATAACCTCGTTTAACTTCGGGAAAACACGCTGCATCAAATTGTGAGTAGTACGTCACAACCTCGAAATAAAATAAATTCATGAACACGGAAAATACATACACAGACATGACAGATCAAGTTCTGTGAATTAACTTGCAAAAAATATTCTTTCTCCATCGGTGTTTTCTTGGCATTTTTACGATGTCTAATTCGACCGTACCTATGCTGCAACCGTGCACCGCGGCCATGAATAGATTACCGGTTACTGCTTTTCCATTGTGCCTTCTTTGGCCCTTTGGAGGCGTGGCAGGAAGCAGTCATCACTGCACTGAGCATTACACACGTGTTTTGAATTGCAAACTTGTCATCGTGAAGTGAACTTAAAAACAACGAAGGTTTACTTACTTACTGTGTAAGCGAGATAGGTCTGTAACCAGACTATTAAACTGACGCAGTGGTTAAGTGGCTACTGGCTAGTTTAGTACAGTATGAGTGGGCAGGTGAGCGGCGGGGTGCGCGCAGCTTGCATTAATTAGGGCGACAGTGCCAACATGACGGGAAATATAATTACTTTTTTCAGATACTTTTCATTTTGTGGCTGCTTAGGTAAGTCGAAAGATGATTGTTATGACAAGATGTGCATTCATGTCCACTAAAAGTAGGGGGTGCTTTAGCATATTCCTGCACCCCCATCAAAAAAGTTGGGGGTGCACCCGAGTTTATCTCCCCCTCGAGGGAGCAGTGCTTCGTTGGGTTGGTGTCGGCTGAACAAGCATGCCTGGGGAGGGGGGGGGGGGGAGGCGTGCTCAAGAACTGGAGTGAGTATTTACCGCGACTGATTAAATCGAGCACCCACTGGTTGGACGTAATTAACACCCGGGACCCCGCAAATTCTCAAAGATGGCCTCCCACGGGTCCGATGGTGGGAGGCCGCTATGAGTGGGGAAGTATTTATGTCAGCCCCCGGGATAAAGGGGAGCAGGCGACTGGGAACCGCAGCCGAGTTGGGGCCGTGCTTGTCCGGTAAATGACTGAGTTGGCGCACGCTGCCCTGGACATTGGGGTTGATGGCTTCTTACTAGCCTTCAACCGCTTTGCCTCAGCTTGCATGCAATCCTCGAATTTCCCTGCAAAGAGATCCTTGCCCTTTAGAAAGAAGGTCTCGAACCTCTTGCGGGCACCCTGTGACGGGAGAAAAAGTGCATTGAGCACATTACCCTGGCAGGTGGAGGTTGCTAAGGTCATCACTCGTTCAAACTGGACAAGCACTGAGCCAAGACCGTGGTCAAGACAGACAGGAAAAGCAGCGGTCCGCATGTCCACCAGAACTGCCGGGTCTGTTGTAAAAGTGTAATGGCAACCCCAAGGCAAAAAAAAAAAAAAAGTCAGTCTCTGATTAGCGCGCGCGCGTCGATTTTAATCATGCGCGTCAATCTTCTTTTTTTTCCAAAATGTTCCGCGGTAGCTCCAACAGTGGCCTCTATTGCCGCACCTCCTCATTTCTTTTTACCAATTAGCACCAAGGAATGGGAAATTGCACCAAGGCAAATGATCGAAAGCACCAAGGATAATTATGGAGGACACCAATGTACATGAGGACACCAAAAAAGCAAAATAGTACCCCACCTTGTCTGTACAATTCAAGCTTGAAGAAAAAAAAAAGAAGCCGCATCTCCGCGTCAATTCCGGAACATTGGTCTGACCAGAGACCGAATATTTTTTTTTTTGGCCCAACAGACACACCAACAGACAAATTATAAGACAGGGAATGAAAACAACTTCTTACTTTCTTCTATTACATTAAAAAAAAACTTCAAATATTCTTCTTCA